AATTCAGAAAAACCCATTACTTCTATTAGTTTAATTGATTTTTTGCAATGTTTGAACCACGGCGAGGGGGGTGTTGGTACAAGCAGGTAACTGAGCATGCTGCTCCCGAGCACGTTCTTATATTACAAGTTATCAATTACCTTCACTGGCTTTATCGATTTTTTGCAAAGTTTAAGCCACGGAAATGGGATTTGGCACATGGGAAAAAGCGAGCATGCCGATTACGATTGCAACAAGTGTTCTTGAAAGTACCTATTATTTTTGTCGATTTTTCTATTCTTTTTAAAATTACTTAGAGCTACACGGCTGGTATTTGGCACAAGGTTTTATGTGAGCACGCTCACTGGAGAGATAGTAAGCGTTTTTGAAATACCCATTACTTTTATTGATTTCATCTCCTTTTCAAAACTGAAGCTACGAGGCTGAGAGGGCGCTGGTCCAGGGGTAAGCAAGCATGCTGAGAATTCTATAATCACACTAGGAATTGACGAAGGCGGTAAATTTACCTGTTGTTATAGATTCACTTTGGCCCGCCTTTACCTTTCAAAATCCTACTTCTGCCCCTAAAACCAGAAAAGCACAGAGAGCCTGGTCTCGAGGGAAGAAAAGGCTTATAAACTGAGGCGGCAAGATATTTCCGCTAAGAATTTCTACGAGTCAATATCCAATTATACAGAAATTTCTTTGAAATTTGCTTCTGTCCCTTCCACTCTGCAAAAACCATACTTCTGCCTCTGAAAGCAGAAAAGTGGTCTCTGGGGATGGACGGACCCATGAGCTTCATCCGATAGGACATTTTCATTGAAACTTTTGGCCCCCCCAACTTCGCAAAAACCACAAACTCAAAAACCACACTTCTGGTCCAAAAAGCAAAAAAGGCAGGGAGCTTGGTCTCGAGGGAAGAAAGAATTATGGCCTCAGCAGCAAGATACTTTCGCCAGATGTTTCTGAGTGTCAATGATTATACAAAATTTGCTTGAAATTTATTCCTGGCCCTTCTCGCCTCGGGGGGAGGGGGGGGGGGGGGAAAGACTCATAAGCTCAGCCATCAAGATCCTTCGCTGACAATTTCTGGGTGTCAATGCTTATTCAAGAAACTTGCTTCAAAATTTACCTCTGGCCCTTCTACTTTGCAAAAACGATACTTCTGCCTCTAAAAGTAAGAAAGCACTAAGTGCTTTCGAGGGAAGGGCAGACCCATGAGCTTCATCCGATAGGACATTTTCGCTAAGATGTTTGACCCCTAGACTTCGCAGAAACCAGTACTTCTGCCCCTAAAAGCAGAAAAGCGCAGAGAATTGTCTCGGGGGAAGAATATTCTTCGCTTCAGGCAGCAAGATATTTTAAGTTTGTGGGTGTCAATGATTATACAGAAACTTCCTTGAAATTTACTTCTGGCCATTCTACTTTGCAAAAACCACACTTCTTCCTCTAAAAGCAAAACAGCACAGATAGCTTGGTTTCGAGGAAAAGACAGTACCATGAGCTGTATGCGACAAACACTTTCGCTAAAACGTTTGACCCCCTAGATTTCGTAAAAACCAGTACTTCTGCCCCTAAAAGCAGAAAAGCACAGGGAATTTAATCTCTAGGGAAGGACAGACCCATGAGCTTCTTGCGACAGGACATCTTCACAGAAACTTTCGGCCCCTTCTACTTCGCAAAAACCAGTACTTCTGCCCTGAAAGCAGAAAAGCGCTGGGTGCTTGTCTCGAGGGAGGAAAGAATTATGGCCTCAGGCAGCAAGATATTTTCGCCAAAAGTTTCTGGGTGTCGATGTTTTATTACACAACTTGTTTGAATTTCACTTGTGGCCATTCTACTCTGAAAAAACCAGACTCCCGCCTCTGAAGGCAGAAAAGTGGTCTCGAGGGGAAGACAGACCCATAAGCTTCTTGCGACAGGAAATTATCTCTGAAAATTTTGGCCTTTTGAACTTCGCTAAAACCACACTTTTGTCCCTAGAAGCAAAAAACAGGGAGCTTGCTCTCGAGGGAAAAAAGAATCAGGGCTCAGGCAGCAAGATAATTGCGCTATAAATTTTTAGGTGTCAATATTCAATTATAAAGATTTGCTGGAGAAATTACAGCCCCTTCTTCTCAACCATACTTCTGCCCCTAAAAGCGGAAGCATAAGGAGCTTGGTTTCGAGGGAAGGAAAGACCTAGGGTTTTATGCGACAGGACAGTTCCAGTAAGATTGTCCTCCAAAAGAAGGCAATGGGCCAGTTTTAGTCTGTTCTTAGAAATGGGTCCGTTCTCTGGCAAGACATCATAGAAGAAAATTTTGCTTCGTTTTTATCTACATATTCGGCTTTTCGGCTGCGGCCCCGGCTTATCAGATAATCGCCGAGGGCAGGCGGCCATGCGAATTATGGGTGTTAGAGCATCGGAAAAATAGTTTGCTGATTTCTTGCGGCCCGCTTGCAGATATTTGGAAGAATTTTAGCGAAATTTCAGACGAATGCTTGGAGAACAATCGCGATTTCCTTATATATCAGCTGCTTTTCGCGAGAATATGTAAAATTTCCGAAGGCCGCGCGGTCCTTTGTGGAGGACCGCAGCCCCCAGGTACTTTCCGCTGAGAGAAAGTACCTCAAACTTGAGTAATCAAACCATCGATGACACCTCTGCCATGTAGAGTCTCACGTTTGCTCGGCGTACGTCCGCAACTGCTTAAAAATCGTCCGAGCGCCACTGAAAATTTGACCGGCGCTCGCTGAAAGAGATTATTTGAGACGAGCGCCTGCAGAAAATTCTGTGTTGCTGCCAGCTGGCAGAACATTAGACAGTAAAGGAAGTACCGCTCGCTGAGGTTTGGCACGCCCCAAAATTTTGCTGATCGCTTGCAGAAAAGCGCGAGTTTGCGGATCGCCTGCCCCCGGCGATCTGAGTTGACGCTTCCTTTAACATGGCACTTTCCTGGAGATCAATCTGAGTTTTGGGATGAATCGGCTGTTCTAAACAGGTGCTTGGAGGTTGCTTCCTTGTTTAAGAGCTGTGGTATCTGGGCGAAGATATCTACAAGAGGAACAGCAGAGATGCTTTGGACAGTCACTGGTAGTAGCTTCTTTTCCTAAGAGCATAGTGTTTTGTTTCTACTACTCCACACGCGAAAGGTCGCTGAGAAAATTTCTCTTTCTTGGGATTTTTAGTTAATTAATGGCAGATATCAATGTATCTGCTCCCACTCACTTACTAGCGACCCGTAGGGTCGCTAGTCTTATATATTAGGTCGTTTCAAAAGTAATGTCGCATTTTTTAATTAAACGCTACATTTCGTGGAAGCAAGATTTCTAGGAGATCTTGGTAGCATTCGATGCAGCACTTCATCCCTTTTCCAATCGCTATAATTTCACTGCAGAATACTCGATGAGCTTTTGAAAAATTGCTAAAATCTCCAACCCATGCTTTTTTTTCCAATGAAGTCAACAAATTTTTGCGAGCTTGTCTCAAACACATATGCATCAAACACCAATAAACTTTCGGCTGAGACTTACAAAGGTGGATTATGGTTTAACACTAATTCTACAAAGCATATGAGCATTTACCGCTTCAGATTAGCAGTTTTCGGAAATTTTGGGTACAGCCTGGGGCGCCCTGGAAAACCTGAATTATGATGATTTCATCCCGGAAAACTTGGTGAATCGGAAACCAAAAACAACTGATAGAAAGAGGAGAAAAAGCTGCGTCTAATGACACTCGAGTTGCTTGCCATTGTTGTTCTGTGAGGTCTGAGTTGACCAAATATGGAATTTGATAGCACTGAAAAAGTGGTTCTACAAACTCCAAGAAGCAATCTAAGGAAAAGAAAAAAATTGGTTTGTATCCTATAGGGTTTGCTCTATTTATCTTTTACTTGTACATCTTCGGGGAATCAGTACAAAAATATAGAAAAATAGCCGAACTTGACCATGACAAAAAGCATAAGTCGCAGTTTTTAGTAATTTTTTGAGAGCTCATTGAATATTATGCAATGGGATTACAACCATTAGAAAGAGGACGAAATTCTGCATCGACTGATCCCAAGAGCTCTTGAAAATCTTGGTTCCACGAAATGTGGCGTTCATTTGAAAAAAGCGACATTACTTTCGCAACGACCTAATATAAAGCTGAATGTCTGTTTGTCTGTCTGTCTGTACGTATGTTCCAAATAGAAAATTCCATTTCTGAACCGATCCGGACCAAACTTGGCACACATACACTTCGGGCCCCGGCGGGTGTCATAGGCTTCTTTTCGTTATCGATCAATATCGATTTTATCGATTTTTTGCAAAATTTGAGCTACGGGGCTGGAAGTTGGCACAGGGGGGGGGGTACTCGAGCATGCTGATTACGAATATAATAATGACAGGGCCGGGCGGAGCCGGGTAAGTCAACTAGTAGATGATATACGTATCCAATTTAATACGTAAACTTGCAAATGGGTGCATCAGAAGTTAGCTAGGCATCTTCTGACTCATGGCTCCAGAACGTCTCTGTAACGAGGTGTAACTTCTAGTCATTACTGTCGCTTGCACGAAACGACCAAGACCATACCAAGACCACAACGACCATATAAAATCCACTAACCCAGTAACCGTTTTGAACAGAGAATTTGTCGAAGCAGTCAAGGAGAAGACGGAAAATTTGGAAAACTTGGTAAAAGTATTGTTGATGGAGCCGATGATTTATTGCATAAAATGTGTACAAAATTTCTCCTTGACTGAGGCAGTCGACGATAGTTGGCATCCACTGGGGTAATCGGGAAGGAAAATGCTGTGTATAATTAAAAAATGGCAATCTTCATTATAGTATACTGGCAGGACCGACGGTATTCGATTATACCGGGTAGTAGTAAATTGCTTACTCTATTTGGAGAGGAGTTTTGCCCTATCCAACACCTTAGTGTGAGGCCACTCACAAATAAACTTTTATTAATGTGCTAATTTCCACTAGCAATCTACGTATGGATTTATAGATAATGTATTTTTATGTAAAAAGTATTGCTTGTCACCGCTCTTTACTCTGCTTCTCGTCCATTATTCGCGTCATCTTCATCCTCATCAGAACTCGCCTCCTGCGTGCTCTGCGGTGGTACAGGCTTTTTCTTTTCCTCAACAGCTTTTGCCCTCTGCTTCACGTCTGTCATCGTTTTTTCTAACTTCTTTTCGCTCTGCTTAAGTTCGATTATTTTACGCTTTCGCATATCCATTTCTAATGGTCTCTCTACTTTTAAAGTTATTTTTTCTTTCTTCATATCTTTTTGTACCTGTTGCGAATCAGGTTTAGGTGTTTTCGGCTTTGCAGTATCTTTTAATGCTTGGTCTTGCTTTTTTGGAACTGCTTGTTCTCTTGCAGTGACATCTTTGTCAGCTTTTTCTGCTTTGCTATGATGTTTTGTCTGCTTTACTCCTGGAAGCTTTGGAGTTTTCGCAACACTCTTCGTTCCTTGTTCCCTAGTTTTTTGCGAAGCAGGACTCATATTCGGAACTGTATTGGCAAATACCTAAATATATACGATAAATTTACAATGAATACACGGACCAGTCACTCACTTGTTCACCATTTACATCTTCTGCTGTTATCGTGGGTTCTGCAGTGGTTTTAGTGTATTCGGTCGTTCGCGAAAGATGGGACTGTTCCACTGACTTCTGCAGATGGTATTTGTTACGTAATAGTACAAACCACCCTCTGAATACCGTAAGATCCTGTGCTGGTGATCTGTCGTCCTCGACATAGATCTGATCTTTGATTGTTTGAAGAAGTTTGAACGGCATGGAAATCTCCACTGCAAAGCATGAAGTCATTTGCAGAAAAGCTGGAATGTCAAACCTATGTGGCGACCACCCCAGAATTCTGGGATCAAGTCGGGGAAGATAAGCATCACATCGAGGAAACACGCTTTTGCCTGAAATTTTTGTTTAATTCGTCAAAGAGAATTACGATGACGGTACTCATACTTTTTCTCTTTCAGATAGAAACAATCGTACTTCATTTGTAAAGTCAGCTTTCTCACATAAGTCGATTACTCTCTCCCAACATTTATTGAACGCTTCATGCATTAGCCTCATGACCTGAAAACAAAGCAATTACTGCCTTGACCATCCCTACCTTGGGATTGCGTTACCTTTGCACTCACTCGATATGACGGTCGGCTAAGCTCGGTTTCGAAAAACTGGCGTACTTTTCCTGTGTCTTCGTCGCTGAGCGTTTTGTCGAGCAAATTATGTTGTTTGATGAATGTCATAACCTGTATGTGGTTCACTCAAAGTGAAATCATCGTTGAAGTTTGAAGCTTACCTTATAGGCAGAAATAAAGTCTTGATGCAAAGTAAATGCTGAAAGAGACACCAAGGACTTCTCTTGCTTTTCCTCAAATTAAGATAATTCATGTCATAGTAATTTTGGTAGTATCGGCGATATAACTCGCAAAGACTGGGTGCCGTTACGTCCAAGCAAGAAAGCTCGTGCATGGGAGAAACAGCAGATGGTGAGAGAAACGAAAGAGCACTTGATTAATGAGAAGCCGATACGTCCGCAGTCTTTGCGTGCGATAAACTGCCTAGTAGTTTCGTATATACCTCCTCAATTTGAATCTCAGACAAGTCCCGCAGTGATCTAGCTCGTGCAGTACTGCGCTTACTCTGTAGTTAGGCCAAGATGAATTGTTACTGTAAAATAGGGTCAAATTCGATCAAATTTACCTTTCTGTGACGTTTTGAGCCTTTGCGTAACCTTGGACTTTTGGCAGATGGTGATTTCCATTTAAATTTTTTGGTTTGCACTGGATACGTGACCGGCCTAACAGCTGCTTCGATTTTCTCAAACACGGTTTTTGTTGTTCTGAAAGACTAGCTCCAATTTTCTCTCTCGGGCATATCAGAATTTGTATCAATTATTCCTTGGTAAGGCAGATCAGGAGAAACAAGGTTCGAAGGACGATTTGGACGGCTGAAATGATGCCGAGTTGATGGAAGATCTACATTTATTGCTCTTAAAGATCGTATTGAGTATGTCCTTCAGAAATGTAGCGAAGCGATGTGAAACTTTTCGAAGAGAGAAGTGTAGCCCAACGGAAGTTTTTCTTTGCCTGTTCTGGGAGCAGTGATATCAACGGTCTAATTCCTTTCGAGTGTCAGATAAGTACTAAAATAGGAACATCCAAGCTAGAGGTTTGGAATTGTAAAGAAATAGGGAATAGACTACATACACAAGGTTTTAAAGAGCGGCGAAGTGTCTAAAGTGCAAGATTCATCTTCAGCGAGTTACAAAGACCTTTGATTTTTGTGACTGAAGCTGTCATGGTTCCCATGTGCAGTCAAGATATCTTACTTAATATTAAGATAATTGGAGGGCCTACAGAAGCCCTATTATCAACGTCACAGCATTCTATGTCGTTCATCGAGAGAGGAAGTTACACGGCAAGCGTTACTTACATCGCCGAACTCAGTTGCTGCCTTTGAGAACGTTTCGCAGAATGCACATGGGGGAAAAGTCGATGGTCTCATGAATACATTGTTAACGAAATCGTTTTGAGGCATGAAGCATTGGCGGAGGAACGAAAGCTGGTCCAGTATGATGACATGAGAGTAAAGTTCGTGTCTTAAAACTTAACAAAAGTCTAGAACAAGCAGAAGAGTTTTTAATGCATTTATGACTATCACTAACACGGATATCCGGCTGCACATCCATCTCTTTAACTTCACGATTCATATGTTCTAAGGGACGCTCCGATTTTCATTTTCATTTTTATTCATACGCTCGAGGCGTTCCAAATCACAAACGTCAGAGTGTTAGTCACATGAAACACAACATCATCCCAAGCCCAGTCCAGGGACTATATAAAGAAATAGTATAGCGATAGTGTAAAGAGCTTGCATAACATGTTTTGGGAATGCATGTAATACCGTGAGGAAGCGGGATGAACTTGCGATCAGCCGTTGAAAGAGTTGTGTTAGTAATGACCGGCTTTATCCTGGAATGATATTCACGAAAGTTTATTCAAAAATGGGCTTTTCGCGAATGAAACGCGAATAAAATGGGCTTAGTCCCTTCGGTGCGATAAGATATCGCGTTCGCGAATCCATTCATTCCATACAAAAATGTTTCAGCAAACCTTTCTCCAAATTGCCTCAACCTGTTTACTCACTCTTGCAAACTCATTCCCACCAAGTGGTTGATATCTAGGCTGATTTAACTTTACTATATCAGTCACGTGGATACTCCGTTCTTTTCCATTTCATTACACCTCATAGAATGCCATTTATTAAGTATAACTATGCATCTAAATTAGTTTCAGTCCATCTAAAATCCAAGTAATATCAGGGCATTCGCTCTTCAAAACTTCTATGAATCTGCATTGAATCAAATTCGTATGTGGAGTTTCCAGCAGAAAGCAAACTTTGGCTAGACTTGCATTGCAATTTGTGAATTAAAATGCTTATCTCACAGAAAACCTTGTATTACACTACAACACAAAGGCTTTTAAGCTGGAAAAACTTTGGATCAGAAATTGATGGCTTCTCATGCTGTACTTTAGCAACCCCAAAACTTTCATGCAAATATGGCGTTTGATATATGAAGCTGTTTTTCTTGCATCAACTGTGTGAGTTTGAGGAGGATACTAGAATGATGACAAAGTCACTGAATTCAATTTTGCGTTTAGAACTTAGCTAGGCATATTCTCTAATCCCAAGTCATATGTGCTTTTGATGATCAAAGTTGCTTAGGGGAAGTGCTACGAACAACTGAAGCAAAGCGGACTTATATCCGTCTCAGCATTTAGGGAATGCTTGAACCAATGCCTTTTGCTATTGGCAACCTTATTATAGATTTTGAACAGAATTCAAATTACCCTAAAATCCGTACAATAAGTCCGCCTATCAGATAAGTCCACCTATCAGATAAGTCCGCAGCAGACCTAGCAGATAAGCCCGCTTTCTCATGCTCAGGATAGGCGAACTTATCTGCTGCGGACTTATCTGATAGAGGATTTAGGAGGATTTATCTGCAAGACTTTTGGCGGCGCAGAGGGCGCTTTTTCATCGATTTTTCGTGTCAAAACTGCAGATAACTTCGGACTTATTGTACGGATTTTAGGGTAACCGGTTTGGAAAAGCTCTCGCATAATCCAGTATCAATCAGGTAACCTTTTTTCTCAACCCTAATGTGATGCTCTATATTCGAAAATAAAACAGAGTTCGCTTCGACGTCTTGGGTATTGAAAAGTGTTTTCGGTGACAAAATGACGTATCGAGAAGATTTTTTCTATAAAATGACTTGTTTAATCTTGGTAAACCGTGATTTTTATTTATATTTCCATACGAGAGCAAGAAGTGACTAATGTATAGACTATAGCTAGTAGGAAATTTTTCACAGAATTTTCTGACTTGCTAGCGGTACTTCAGTACTTCTTGCTACCAAACTCAAAATCGCGAATTTTGAATTGCCGTCTTTGTGTCTGTCTGTCTGTCTGTCTCAACTGTCTACGAAAAAAAATTTTTCTATGATTTTCAAAGCATTTCAAGACTGTTTGGAAAGGATAGTTTTCTGGCCCTCCTAAAGAAGATAAAACTTTCTCCGTTCGCTTAGTATCTTAAAATGGGCTAGGGAACATATTCTCAAAAAATCGCAATCAAAAATATGCAAGAAGGTCAAAAATGGGCTTAGCCCCAGCACACATTATGGACTTTCGTGGATATGAGTCCTGGATCAGAGTCCAAGAGGGGGGGGGGGGGGTGCTGGGTGTACGGCAATTAGAAGAAGCTTAATCTGGGCCAGCGATGTTCTTTGACGACAACGTGTACTGTAGTTGTGACGGATTGAATTTACTCTCAATGCCATTAGCGAAACACCAGGAACTCTGATCTTATGGTCAGATATGCTTATCAAGGCCTCTTATGGACTTCATCTCTTGTGTCTATGGTGACGTACGAGGTCTCGCAGAGACGAATGAATTTTTGTTGTTCCTCTTCGCACGACCATTAACGGGAGCCGTGATACAGGTAAAGCTTGCCTAACTGCTACTGTAAATTCGAGAAGTTTTGGATTTTCGTTTTCGTCTGCAATTAAAGCACATAGGCTGAAGGTACTCACACATTTTCGAGTTCGTTATCTTCAAGACGCTCTTTACTTAAAAACCGTACACCAACTGTGCGATCTCCGCAAGCTCGAAACAACAATCTTATGAGGTCTTTTCTCTTCTCCAGTTGTCTGCTTATCAGTACTAAAACATCATCTTTTTCTGAGATGCAACTAGGTGCTATAGCACTACAGGCCCCTGATCGTGCAAGGTGGGGAACACCGCAGCCATTGGAAAACATTATTGAATTTGCATTACTTGAAACATTGGTCTTTTCCCGCTGTCAAAATCTCTATATAAGCTGCCACATCTCCCTAGAGTAGGTCAAGCGGTATGCATCAATCTCCCGTTTTGAAAGCGGGCGATCATTTTCAATAAAACCGTGATGTATGATCGCGGGCGCCAACCCGGACGGGCAGCAGCGCCCCAGCTCGTAAGATCGGGTACTGCCTACCCGTTGTCAACAGTCGCGCCCCAATCTCTTTGCGCAGTAGCTTTTTATATTTTACGCTTACAAAAATTTATATGGATGAGCTGGTCGCTGCTAATTACTGCAGCGCATGTCTGGGAGCGCGGGCCGCCAGTGAAATTATGAGCCTATATAGGCGTGCAGGCCACCGTCAGCATGGCATCAACTATGTGCGCTGGTCGCCAGCTCAAAACTGTGGGCCGCTGCTGGGCCTGATGCATCTAAGGTTGACATATAGGTGCCGCGGCTAAACGGCGAAGCCCAGTTGGGCGACCGGGCCGCTGCAACAGTTGTCTGACAAGGAAGTACTATCAGTGGCAGTGGCCTTTTGATATGAGATGCATATCATCTGAAACAGCTTCGAACGCTAATTTCAAATCTGCTTTCCATTTCTGCGGAACGCTCTTCTGAAGAGAGTTATAGAGGCCTGAACATTCTATTTTGGGGGCACTCCTTGAGCTTGAGGCCGCTGCTATGTGCATTGGTGGTGCAGTAATGTAGTGGTTAGTTGCTGACATTGAGAGCGAGAAGTTGATGATTCGAATCTAGTGGGGAGCGAACTATTTTGCTTATTGAATGTGAGTTTGAAAGCACTCTAAATCGCCTGCAGAAACTTACTGTATTGCCTTTGGCATAAGTGACCTAAAAAAGAATTTTCTGGCAAAGCTGCTTGTAATGAGAGTCTGAAATTCTATTTGACTTCCTTACCAGTAAAACAGGACCAAACATGGCCTAGCACGTTTGCCACCACATAAAGCTCAAAAAATGCACACTGTCATCGAAAAGATGTTCTCTCCTGTTTGTGCTAAGGCATTACAGTAAGTGTGTGCAGACGATTTAGAGTCTTTTAAAATTACATTCAAAATGCAAAATGGCTCGCTCTCCACCAGATTTGAATCATCAACCTCTCGCATTCAATGTCAGCAAGTAGTCATTACACTACTGCACCACCAACGCACATAGCAGCGCCCTTAAACTCAAGGAGCGCCCCCCCAAAATAGGATGTTCAGGCCTCCATAACTTTCTTCAGAAGAGCGTTCCGCAGAAATGGAAAGCAGATTTGAAATCAGCGTTCGAAGCTGCTTCAGATGATGCGCATCTCATATCAAACAGCCACGGCCAGCAAAAGTACTTCCCTCGTGAGTATGACCTGCAATTCACATTTGAAACTGTCATCTTTTACTGGAACATGGGACGCTAGCAGCAGTTCACTAGAGATCGTTGAATGCATTATTTAGAGGTAGGTTAAACTAACAACATTTTGTTGGTAGCAAAACTTATGAAAAGAGCGCAAGAAGTCTTATGTGTCAAATAGTGCAAAAAATCCATGCTTAGTGATGTGCTGATGAAGTTCTACTGTTCAAACCTAGAAGTTTTTAAAATATATGAATGCTTCTCAAGTTGGAAAAGAGAAAAGAACATATGCGCATTGAGTTCAAGCAGAAAAAAATGCAATGAAACTCATGAACGGAGCACTCTCAGAATGTGTCAGAAGGGGCATTGCATATGCGGCATGCAGTGCCCCTTCTGACACACTTCAGCATGCATCCCATTGCTCTCAAAAAGACCGGGTTCTTGCTCGAGTAACATCCCAAAATGATGCGGCGCAGGTGCGGCCGCCCGCGCCCGGTCGGGTAACGACCCGGCGGGAACCCCTACCCGGGCGGGAGATTGATGCATACCGCCCCTGATGAGGTTGCATCAGATGATTAGACTCACATTTCTTATTATGCCTTCTTCCGTGAGACATCAGACATCCGAAGTTGAGCAGCCGCTTGCCAGCAGGAAAGAAAATTTTATACTTCACTCTATATCTCTCTACAACGTTCATATATACAGTGACATGTTTTGGCATGAATTTTTAATGAGATGTATGGTTTATTCTCTGAATGATCAGTTGTGTCTTGGAGGAATTGAGTTCGAGCGTGGATGGAAGAAGACTGCAGCAGCAGCGCCCGCCTCGCCGCGCTCGGATATTGTGACCCTCTAAAGCTCTACTATGCTAAAATGGCACCGCGCCAGAGTAGGGGGGGGGGGGTTGGGGGCAAATTTATGGGTCGAGGCCCTGAAGGCAGGGCCTGGCAAATTTTGCATTTATATCTTTTTGCATATTTTGGGCCTTCTCGTCATGTGGAACCCGAATCAGATCTCTAAATCAATTAAAACCACCGTTATCAGGGCGCTTACACTCTAAAAAAGAATCTTAGACGAGAGTTATCTGGAAAGTTGAGGGGCCTTAGCGCAAAAATCTGTCATCCGTAATTTTCGCATGATCGGCATGAGCAGTGGAGGGGCGGCCGTTGTGGTCTTGCGGAATGGATAAGCGGAGTCGTCCTAACGCTTGCCGGTTCGAGGGCAGTTTTCTCGGGGCAGAGATAACCTCATGCAGCCAGGTTGGCCCCGAAGGTCAGTTTGGTGACCAGGAATCCCACCATACCTATATATCGCCAGACTTGAATCTGCCGGGACATTGCCTATGAGTAACACCTCGTCAGAGGTGTTGGGGCTAGCTCTTGGGCTGGTCAATGTCGCGCGGCAACACTTTGCAGGAATTTTGCGTCGATCCTAACAAGCATAGTTTCAAAACATAGAACCATGTACTCTAATGACCTTTTTATGCGACACAAGAGAAAAACAGAAGTCATTTGCGGCGAAGCCCCGGATGTTAAGATCATTATTAGATCGGTATAAATGCGAATGAAGCAAGTATAAGTATCTAATATCTCAAAAGCGTCAAGCAAAACCGAATGCGTTTTTTATTTTTGTGAAGAAAAGAAGGTTTTGTGTCAATTTCCATAAAATTCAGAGCTTCCAATTAACTTCTTTTTTAGTTTACAACCGTGTTTCAAACATTCATGCTATTGGAGCTCAATAGAGACGACTGTGCTCAAATCTTACGCCGAGGCTTTTTTCAACGAAAAATCTGAGAAAACCCTGTTTTCGAAAATCTCTCCTTTTTTCAGTTCATTTCTTTTCACGCGGTTTTTTGGCCTTCGATAGATCTTGCTTATGTTTGTAATGTAGACATTGTCGCAGAGCTTACTTCCAATCGTGGTGATATCTGATGAAAAGCTTCGAAGTGCGTTTTTATTCATACTTCTTTATTGGAGCAATAAAGCAAGCATTTCTTACCGATATGGGATGCGTATAGGAATCTAGAGCACTTTTTGTAAAATGCTAAAACATATATATATATGTTTTAGCATTTTACAAAAAGTGCTCTAGAACATATGTATTCATAGCTAGCGATACATGTCGAAATTACCAAGAAAACCTGGAGGTCGCACCATTTTTTCGAACTTCATCCTTAGGGACAGTACTTTTTCCGCAACAATGTCAAGGTTCGGTCAAGAACGCTTATGTATAGTCATAGTTTCAACATGCATCCGGCTTAGCAAAGCATTATTTCTTGAGTTAATTACGATTATTAATCTAAGACATATACCGAAGAGAATTTTTTTCAATCTGCCATCGAGATCAATGAAAGACATGTCACAAATACTCAGCAATATTGCTGTTACTTTCACAGTATGGACGTTGAAACTACGGACATATGCGACCGAGATTACGTGCACAAGCACTTTGAATCTCAAGATGTTTTTGCAAAATGCTCAATTATATTTACTTTTAGATTTGGGAATTCGTACATTTGGTAGAAGAATTTTCCACTTTGGTCAACCGTATTCAAAGGCGTATTTGCATTAGTATGAAACCATGACTCAAAGAGATACGCTACAGTAACGCGAATGTAGCAAAATTAGTATTCATAGACGTAAAAAATGGTGTTATCAAATGTGGTACTTCATACATTTTGGCCTTTTATGGTCATATTCGAAGTCATAAATTTTGAAAAATGCAACTTTTATGGAGAAAAAGCTCATATAAGCGCTGCATTCGCACTCCTTTGCATTAGATGACTGCAAAATCTTTACTCGTCCTATTCTTCATTTTCGCTGTGCAAGGTGAGTTGCAGCGTTGCAGGTATAAGAAGAAGTAAAGTTCTCTTTGTAGATTAAATTGTTGCGTAATCATTTACTTCTAGCAGCGTTTACCTTTGCCGGCCGATGGAAGATCGTGAATGAAGAAAATGATGTTATGATGGCCAATCCGTTAGGATCACCATCTGCCAGAGGTTCCGCCATGATCCGCAAGCCTAAGACCAAGTACCGGGTCATAAAACACCGCCCTGTTTATGCTGCAGGTACATCTCCACTCATCCTGCCACTTGCCAGTACTTGCCTTTTATAGCAGCTCCTCGCTCTCGCTCCCTCAAACGCACCTCGCACATAATTGACAACAAAGATTTGGTCGAAGGAATGGCATGAAAGAAATCACTCCCTACGAGACTGCTCCAGAGGAGTGAGCTTGATTTATATGCAGTGTGCTTTGAGAAGTAAAGTATTCAATCGCATAGTTTGAAGCAAAAGATGTATTCAACCAAATTAAAAGTTCGTTTCTTTAACCAACACTGCTTCTAGGGATGACCACTCATTGCGAGACTCAAAACAAACAGAACGGTTTCAAATTGAACTAATATTAGATCGTTTCATAAGTTAGTAGAGTTCTCACAAACCAAAGAAATGACAGTTTTCAAAAAAAACATTCAATAATGTATGTTCCATTGTTGCACCAACCATCGGCCACCTTCCCGTCATATTTTCAGTCAAATTTTGCAACAGCTCAGGAAGTCTGGCCCCAAAATACTCGTCCAACCAGCGCTAATAGTCGTCTCCAGAATCGGAGCAAACGCCGTTCATATGACTTCCGATAGTCCAGGGCAGACGATAGCCCTTAGCCCTCCAGAGCGGGATCTCAGCAGCACACTGGATGCCACTGTACCTTCCGGTCAAGTCTTGCAGGACACTGAAGACATTTGTCGTATGAAACCATATTTTGTCATGCAGAAAAACCCGCTGAACCTGTCTTTTGGGCCTTTTCTGCAGTATTCTCTTCAGACGGCACAGTTAGGTTGCGCAGAGTTGGTCGACCGTTTTGACAATTTCCAGTGCAGAACTTTCTGCCCGTCCCACTATAAGTCTTGTCCAAGGGGCACCCTATTCATCACCTTCCGAAGCCATTTGACCCCTTCAATGTCTCACGCAAACTTGCGAACACCAATCTTCGTGAGCGGTGAAGAACCCATACATATGCGCTTCTTTTTATAAGAAAAAAATGCGCAGATGTCGAAAATGCTCGTTTGGGCTTTGAGACTACTTGCACCATTCTTGATACTGTCGACCTTTCGTACTTTTCTTTCATGTTTTAGCTGCCAGATCAACCCTACACGTCATTCCCATTGCGAATAAAATGACTTGCACGTGCCTTTCAAATTTGTTTCTAGTCTTCGAAAAAGAGCAAGACATTGCGGTTTCTGAGGTGATTTTATCGTACTTTTCTTTTGTAGAGTTTTCATTCTCTCCTCATTTCTCTGAGCAGTCGATTTGCAGCAAGATGCGCATATCATCAAAAAAAGCTGGGCATGCTCTTTCAAGTGAACTTATTGCTTCAACAAAAACATCTACTACAATTTCTTCACTCCAAAGATGGAAGTCTCAAAGCCCAAACGAGCATTTTCGACATCTGCGCATTTTTTCTTATAAAAAGAAGCGCATATGTATGGGTTCTTCACCGCTCACGAAGATTGGTGTTCGCAAGTTTGCGTGAGACATTGAAGGGGTCAAATGGCTTCGGAAGGTGATGAATAGGGTGCCCCTTGGACAAGACTTATAGTGAGACGGGCAGAAAGTTCTGCACTGGAAATTGCTTGTCAAAACGGTCGACCAACTCTGCGCAACCTAACTGTGCCGTCTGAATAGAATACTGCAGAAAAGGCCCAAAAGACAGGTTCAGCGGGTTTTTCTGCATGACAAAATATGGTTTCATACGACAAATGTCTTCAGTGTCCTGCAAGACTTGACCGGAAGGTACAGTGGCATCCAGTGTGCTGCTGAGATCCCGCTCTGGAGGGCTAAGGGCTATCGTCTGCCCTGGACTATCGGAAGTCATATGAACGGCGTTTGCTCCGATTCTGGAGACGACTATTAGCGCTGGTTGGACGAGTATTTTGGGGCCAGACTTCCTGAGCTGTTGCAAAATTTGACTGAAAATATGACGGGAAGGTGGCCGATGGTTGGTGCAACAATGGAACATACATTATTGAATGTTTTTTTTTTGAAAACTGTCATTTCTTTAGTTTGTGAGAACTCTACTAACTTATGAAACGATCTAATATTAGTTCAATTTGAAACCGTTCTGTTTGTTTTGAGTCTCGCAATGAGTGGTCATCCCTAGAAGCAGTGTTGGTTAAAGAAACGAACTTTTAATTTGGTTGAATACATCTTTTGCTTCAAACTATGCGATTGAATACTTTACTTCTCAAAGCACACTGCATATAAATCAAGCTCACTCCATTTGGAGCAGTCCTGTAGGGAGTGATTTCTTTCATGCCATTCCTTCGACCAAATCTTTGTTGTTAATTATGTGCGAGGTGCGTTTGAGGGAGCGAGAGCGAGGAGCTGCTATAAAAGGCAAGTACTGGCAAGTGGCAGGATGAGTGGAGATGTACCTGCAGCATAAACAGGGCGGTGTTTTATGACCCGGTACTTGGTCTTAGGCTTGCGGATTATGGCGGAACCTCTGGCAGATGGTGATCCTAACGGATTGGCCATCATAACATCATTTTCTTCATTCACGATACTCCATGGGTTGGCAAAGGTAAACGTTGCTAGAAGTGAATGATTACGCAACAATTAAATTTACAAAGAGAACTTTACTTCTTCTTACACTTGCAACACTGCAACTCACCTTGCACAGCGAAGACGAAGAACACGACGATTAGGGGAGTTGCGATCATATGGTGCAAACAAATGCGAATGCAGCGCTTATATGAGCTTTTTCTCCATAAAAGTCGCAGTTTTCAAGTTTATGACTTTGAATATGACCGTAAAAGGCCAAAATGTATGAAGTACCACATTTGATAACACCATTTTTCACGTCTATGAATACTAATTTCGCTATATTTTGCGTTACTGTAGCCAATCTCTTTGAGTCGTAGTTCCATACTAATGCATTAACCTTTGATTACGGTTGACTAAAGTAAAAAATTCTTACTAATCGTACAAATCCCTAAACACGAATATTATTGAGCGTTTTGCATAAAGCTGAAGTCTTCAACGATAATCCATCATAAGATTTATAGTGCTAATGCAACCTCGGTGACATATGTTTGTAGATGCAGCGTCCATAATGTGAAAATGACAGTAGCTGGGTATTTGGAGCATGTCTTGCGTGAATCTTAGCGGCAAATGAAAAGTTTTTCTTTGCAGTAGCATATTCCTCGGATTATATTAATCGTTCCGAAAGTAATGTCGCTTTTTTAAACGTACCCACAACTCGTGGAACAAAGATGTGTAAGAGATTCTTTTAGCATTTGATGCAGCATTTCATACTCTTTCTAATGGTTATATAACCACTGCACAAAATTCAATAACCTCTCAAAAAATCTCTCCTCAGACACAAATGCATCAAACACCAATAAATCTTCGATTTTGAAACTTGCAAAGATGGATCATGGTTTGACACTAATTTTACAAACCAAATGAACATTCACCGCTTCACATTAGCAACTTTCGAAATGTCCGGGGACAGCCTGGAGCGCCCTGAAAAACTCAAATTATGATGATTTTATTCCGGAAAACTTGATGAATCGGAAACAAAAACAAACAGGTAGAAAGAGGAGAAAAAGCTGCTTCGAATGACAACCGAGTTGATTGCCGGTTGTTGTTCTGTGAGGTTTGAGTTGACCAGATATAGAATCTGATGGCGTTGAAAAAATTGATTCCAGGAACTCTAAGAAGTAAGCTAAGGAAAAGAAAATAACCTTGTGTCCTATAGGGTCTGCTCTATTTACCTGTCACTTGTACTTCTTCGGAGAATAGGTACAAAAATTTAAAAAAATAGCCGAACTTGACCATGGCAAAGAGCATGAGTCGCAGATTTTGGTAATTTTAGAGAGCTGATTGAATATTATGCAATGAAATTAGAACCATAAAAAAGAGGATGAAATGCTGCATCGAATCCTTCTAAGACCTCTTGAAAATCTTGATTTCACGAAATGTGGAGTTCATTTGAAAAAGCGACATTACTTTCGGAACGACCTAATATAATTTGTACTTCTGACTTAAGAAGTAATGCTTTGCTAGGCCAGATGCATGATTGTGAAACTATGACTTTACAAAAGCGTTCTTGTCTCTTGAACCTTGGCGATGTTGCGGAAAAAGTAATAGAATAAAGCTCAGAAAAGAATCAGAAAGCTCAAAAAATTCATGTGATGTCCAAGTTCTCTTGGTAAATTCCACACGAATCGCAAGATAAGAACACAATCTAGCATCTTACAGAAAGTGGCCTCAAAATTCTATAGTTTTTCCCTGCTGTGGATCTCTGTTCACAACGCATCCCATGTCAAATCACGTCAGAATCTTTTCGCGAGTATGAAGATTTTTTCAAGATTTTTACGTTCTCGAGTATTTAAGAAATCTTCCATCGCTTAAGGTCTTGGGCAGAGTTCACGCGATTCCATCGTCGCGATTCATCGCGACGATACAACTGTTACGAGTTCATTGTTTGCCGATCTTCTTGTATTTCGGTTGTAATAGTTAGTCACGACTGGTCGTGTCGGAAAACTATCACAACCGGACTGCAAGAGGATCAGCATGCAACGATGTTGTTACAGTTGTCTTGTCGCGACGAATCGCGACGATGAAATCGCGTGAACTCTCGCCGAGGCCTAAGAAAGGTAGAAATGATTTCGAAATACCCATAATCAGTCGGCAGTTGTGCTTTATTATGTTGCTTCACCTCTTCTTTCGCAGAAGATCAAATGCAAATTGCAATCGGTTTTTGAATCTTCTATGACTTGCTAGTCGCAGTAAGGACAGTGATCACTATCTCTGTGCAAAAATCTTCTCAGATGCTCAAGCGAAATCTTAGCAAATTCTCTTTACAGAACCAACATTTTTTGTCGCCATTCTATAAAGTAATGTACTTTTGATCACCTTTTTGGGGTTAAAGTCCATGGTTTCCACATTAACATGTCAAACATATCCATAAATTGCAAAAATTGGTACTAAAGGATATTCGTTGACGACTGCCCCGACTTGTGAATTACACCACCTTGGGCATGCCTTATTGGGGCCTTTCCAGCTTGACAGTACGCTGCAGCGCGTGGGGACTTGGTAGCTCGCAGCATCCATGTCCTTCCCCTGTCCTGTCCTGTCCTATTGTCAAGCTGGAAAGTCTCCAAAAAGCACACGTACGGTGGTGTAATTGCACTAGTTGGGGGCAGTCGTCGACGAATATCCTTTACTACTCAATTTTGCTGGCCAGAAGCCAAATGGAGTGATAGCATGCAAAATTTAAGCTCAGGACGTTGGCTGAAATACGTTCTACGAAGTTCGTAAGGGACAGACAGACAGGCAGACACACAGAAACAACAGCCCTTTAGCCCGTTATTGTTAGTCATGATTACAAAACTTGCGTCCGGGATTATCTTAACGAGATTGATGGGTACCGAGCGTGAATTATTGTACTTGGATCATTTGTGTTAACGAGCCCCCTACAAATTACCCGTTCGCAAGGGATGAGCAAGAGATTTGCTACACTCCCGCAAAATTCAAACTTCCTCCCCTCCTAAGTTGTCTCTCAAAGACCCGTACCAGTTGCTATATCCCTGCCCTAAGCACAAGAAATATATTTTATCAAACATTTCAAGTGTTTTCGTAACGAGCATGTCAATTCACCCCTGTTGACCAGATTTTGTAATAAAAAATGCTAAGACTTCCGAATATTGGTTAACATAAACGATCATTTTCAAATATAATCAATTTGTTTCAGAAATATGTTAGCTAATTTTTGCACTCAGTTCAAAGCGCTTCTCTTGATTGATCTATATTGAAAAGCCTGCTTTTAATGGCCGTCAGACGATGAGCTAGGAGCCAGTTAGAATGTCGTTTGCAGTGTTCATTTCCAGGTGGTTTTCACTATCGTTATCCAGATGAGTGAAGGCGGATAAAGCTCAAAACAGTCCTGTCAATACTATGAATTTGAGCTAGTGAACTATATATAAATCATACTCAAACTTTCTCGATGACAAAATCCATTGGCCAGGGTATAAGACTATGACTATCACACCTTTTCTGCGTTTTACCGCACACCAAGAACCTTGTCACGGAGAATTTTCGAGAGTGTTATTCGATAGGTCTAATCTCGTAGATTTCATAGGAATGTCTGCTTATCCGCTTCATTTTTCTGAGTGACAATTGCTGAAATCACAACCATTGGAAGCGAAAACTGCGATAGACGAAATCTTGGACCGTGCTTCCCTTCATTATTGGCGTCAAATTGAAATGCTAAATTGAGCGAAATAAGAGCTTTCAGATGAGTGCAAAAGGAGGTAGCTTACTCATTTCGAAGCTAAAGTTGATCGTGTTTGAAAATGACCATTTCATATAGGCGACCCAGTGTTTGAAGACCACACAATGAGCTAGATTCTGGTGAACAGGGTTATTCAAAACCAGTAGTACCTCCGCTTCGCAGAGGCTTGCACTGGTCAATATGGAACGGTCGGGAAAACTTACATTGTGCTACTGGATTTTCCATTCTTGAGTTGAGTGACCACCAAGTAATTCCATGAAAATGAACCTCCCTTGTTATGTGACCCCTCCATACTTTGTAAATCATTCCCCACTGTATTTTCGTAACGGACAAACTCGACACAGCCACAGATTAAGCAGTTTTTTATAAGTCATGATGCTAATTGAGAAAACAATCATTATGCTTGGGTAGGGGCTTCTTAATCATGCTCACGATGGGTATACGATGATAGGTCAATATCTCAGTGTGCTGGCTTTTTGCACAGTGGGATTGTTCGACGTACCGCTAACTTTGACAAGTGTCAAAGTGCTGAGAGAGAAATTTCTACAAACAATCGCACTCTTATTTTCATCGCGAGTGCAACAACACAGTGCTTCTGAACATCTTTGGATTTTACAGTAGCCCTTAATGCTAAATTCACCTCCAAAAACTTCATTGTACAATACCGCTCACAGAATGTGCAAAATTTCCGTGAATGTCGCAGAATTCCGGGAATTTCGCGACATTCCAGGAATTTCGCGACATTCCAGGAATTTCGCGACATTCCAGGAATTTCGCGACATTCCAGGAATTTCGCGAAATTCATGTAAATCACGCAAATTACGCAGGGCCATAACTTCTTTACGATTGAGTATATTCAAAATCCAAAAACAGCATTGTATTCAGCTCGTTAAGACGAATCTTTTGCTGTACAGATTGTCTCCAATATCCTGTTTTCAAAAACCTCAAATTTGCATGCGGATGCCTTTTCGTATGGGTGTAACGCAATCAGCATCATACATGGAAGACTGCGGTTTGCACCGTTCGATAGTACTCTTTAAGTAGATTATCCTGTGCTAAACGGCAGCCGAAGACTCTCTTTCAAAAGAGATAGAAGAGCTAATAAACTCTGGAAAAATCAAACTGCTTCAAGTTCTACTGGCCGTAACTTCCTTTAGAATGAACATCTTCGGAATCCGAAAGCAGCATTGTGTTCAGCTCGTCGAGGCGAATCTTTTGGTATACAGCATGTCCTTGAAATTCCGTTCCCAATTTTTTCAAAATTTTCTGCGCGCGTATATTCGCAAGGATGCAACGCAGCGCACATCAAACATAAAAGGTTCCAATAAGTATTGTTGGATTGTACTGTTTCCGCAGATTATATAGCGCTGAAAAGCCACTGAAGTATCTTTTTCTAAAAAGATAGAAGGGCTGGTGAATTCTGGAAAAATCTTGTTGTTTCAAATTTTGCCCACCGTAACTCTAAATTGAGAAGCTCTCAGTACTCTGCGTTGATACCACTGCTTTCAGCAGGTTAGATAACCTCTATCAGCAAGTTTTCGAAGAAATTCGGATATTTGATTTTTTTCTCGTTTACGCCCTGACGCTCGCCGGTGGATTTTGGTCAAAATGTCGATAATCTTGAATTGTAAGGAAACTTCGCTCAAAGAGGTTTTCGAACACGCTGTTTACGAAAATCGTCTTTTGAGCGAAGTACAGAGTTTTCTAGCAGAGATATGGTGAGTGAACTTTAGCCAAACCGCGATACTTCGTAGATTCGCCTGCATTTTTCGAGCACCTTGGAAAATCTGCTTGCTTGCCTCTACAAGTTGAATTCACTAGAAAGCGTGCTATTAAACGGTGCATGCATACGGCTTCAATCTGTAGCATTCGCCGAGTTAGGGGCCTACGAAATCACGTCCTCATGAGTCTTGCCTGAAATGTAAAGATCGCCTGCTTCGTGGAACTTCCACCCAAGTGGTTGTAAGACACGCTGTTCGCGAATTTTATGTTCACTCGAAGGATCCTTAGGTGGAAATAGTACTCTGCGTTGATACCACTGCTT